TTTTTCCATTCTCTATTTGCCACCGAACTATTAAAACTGTTCACATTTTACCCTTATGACCGGTAACAACCGGTCATAAGGGTAAAATGTGAACAGTTTCAATAGTTCGGTGGCAAATAGATAATAAAAAAAGTTTAGTGACTAAATGTGAACAAAGTCGAAAGTTCGTTTCCCTCTAAAAAAAAATTCAATGACTAAATGTGAACAAACTTCCTCTTGTATTATGTTTTAGCAAATTATTTATTTTTGTTAAATTCTAGCAACATTTGTTGATGAAGAAATCTATGAAATAAAAAAACAAAACCCCAAAAAATATATTAAAAAAAACGAAAAACTGAAACCAAAATAAATAACCAATGATTTGGTATTTTCCAAAATAAAAAATCAAAATTTCCAATCTGATTTTGGTTTAACCAAAAAAATAAACCATTCTCACTCATAGCTATTAACAAATTGTGTTTCATGGTCAGAAATTACGTTGTATACCGAAGAAAAAGAAATGAAAAACCTTATTTTTTTAAAATAGTTATTTAAATATGAATTGGTTTTTCTAAAACCTTTTAAAATTATGAGTGGCTTTTTTTAAAGAAAAAAAAATAGCATCGTTTTAATTGTTGAATATATAGCTATTTTTTTCTAACTTTATATGTCTAGTTAAATAATCATACATTTCAATAATTATTCAAACTTTTTAAGAAAATACAATCTCAAATATAAATCAATTGTTCGGGTAAATTAAAAATGTCTAAATTCTAAACAACTTGACTTTCATTTTCGATATCCTTTTTAATAGTAATATAGTAATATGATGTATGTCAATACATGTAGTATAACAATATATATAATGTATCAATGTACGTATGTATTTTTTTACAAACAATGTATATGGTTTAATGTAAGTCAATTTATATGTTGCGTAATTTTATAACACAAAATTTATACATATAATATTAAGATAATTTTTATACATATAATATTACATAGTTTTATAACATAAAAATTATACATTGGGTTTTGGGGGGGGGGGGGGGGGGGGGTTCATCTTCATCAACAAATGTTGTTAAAATTTAATAAAAATACATAATTTGCTAAACCATAATACAAGAGGAAAGTTTGTTCACATTTAGTTATTGAACTTTTTTGAAAGGGAAACGAACTTTCAACTTTGTTCACATTTAGTCACTAAACTTTTTTTCATTCTTTATTTGCCATTAAACTATTGAAACTGTTCACATTTTACCCTTATGACCGGTTGTTATCGGTCATAAGGGTAAAATGTGAACAGTTTTAATAGTTCAATGGCAAATAGAGAAGGAAAAAAAGTTTAGTGACTAAATGTGAACAAAGTCGAAAGTTTGTTACCCTTTCAAGTCATTATCCCAACACATGATTATGAGAAGTAATTGAGCTTCAAGGAGTGAAATTACTAGGTCTTTTAACACCCGAGATTATAACTTTTGGGTGTGAATTATTAGTGTTGATCACAAAAAGACCACCTTTTTTACTTATATAAAAAAAATTACCACTTATTTAGCGAAACGCCTTTTTTGCAAAATTTGCTTTTTCAGAGAAAAAAAATCATATTTTTGCGAAATAAAAGAAAATCGTGATTTTTTGAAGATTCTTTTAGTAGGGACACTGATAAAGAAATTTCATGAAAAAATAAATATTTTCGGAATAGATTTGTGGTCATTTTGTAATAAAAGCTGAAAAGGTGGTCATCTGTGATTTATTAAACTTCCCAATATTTGGTATTTTTGTGATTATCCCTTAAATTAATTGACAAATTGAAGTGTTAAGATATTTTGATGACACACCAAGCTTTGGTTAGAAATAGTATTTTATAGGCTTTGGTGGTCAAAGTCAAACTAGAAAAGTTAAAAGTTTCATAAGGTAATCTCCAAGTTTCTTCATTTTGTGTTACTAATTTTGTGAAAAGATGTGAGATTTAGCTTCTAACTTCAAAGAAATGAGTATAAAGTGTTGGATATAAGGAGATGTTATTGTAATGTATCAAACTAAGGTTTCTCAAGTCTTTATGTATTACACATTTAATCCATGAAATTGGAGAAGAAAACTCCCGATTGGGCTGATTTTAGGTTATATTTTTGGCTACGATTTTTTTATGGTATTTAGGGTTCCAAAACAATGTTTCTATCTTGTAGAACAGAAGGCAATCATGAACAATTCTTACATTTATTCAGCCTCTGAATTAATACCTATCAATTCTTTCAAAGCCTCACTCAGGTATAAGTATAACCATACAATGATCATAGCTCTCTTACATCTACTATTTTCTCTCAAATAATTTCAATGAGGACTCGCCCTCTTTCTACTTATATCTTAATCTCATTGCCCTAAACGCCAATCACACCATTAAAGAAGTAAAAGCACATCTCTTTTCATCTAATTTAACGTGAAAAGATGAAAAAAAAAATACTCTTTTTTTTTGGAACGGAGGTATAATCTTAATCAATTGATAGATTTCCATGAAATAACAAGTTCTTGGAAACATTACTATGTAAGATAATTAGTAAAGCACAAAACCCACAAACAAATTGAAGAGCGAAACCTAGATTATCCGGTCACTTCAGAAACCATCATAACTTTTACGTACATAAATGCATACGCTGATATGGAAAAAATAAACAAAAATTAAAAAGATGCGAGAGGTAATAAACTGGAAAGGGGTCTTACCCTCGATAGAACATTTTGTTTCTGGCAGCACAAATCCCCTTTTGATTTTAGGGTTTATAGGCTTCGAGTTTGAGAAAAAGCGACAGAGGATCGCAATATTTGATAGTTTGTTATTGATGAAGGTTGAAAAGAAAGTGATTTTCCAAATGGACCGAGTAACTATGATGTCGTTCAAATTAACCGGAAAAGGTCCCTCAACATTTATACTTGATACATTTTGATAGGGAAAAGTAGATTTTGTAAGTTCGGTCCTTCAATAAAAAATGTTGATCATTAGGGATCCACAACACAACAAAAAAAAGTTGGGTGACTAACACCATTTCTTGAGTTACTTAAAGGAACGAAAAGGAGGATTAAGAGGGAAAAGCTTGATCTCCCTTTTTTAAAGGAGAGAAATAAAATGAAATGACACATAAAACCATCCGTCCAATTTTAAGCGGAATGGTAGGGAATTCAAGAAAATGACCTATTTTACTCTTGTTATTTTCTGATTTCTCCATCTACAACTTCAAACCACGGAATTGCTCTTCATCTTCATTCTCGCGACATCTTCATCTTCATAGTATCTTCATCTTCATTCTTACAAAATATTTTCATATTTTCTTCATCTCGCTCTTTTTTTATAACATCTTTCTTTCCTCCTTCAGCATCCTTCTACATGACCTTACCGTAATCGTCTTCTCCCATTCCTCTTCTTCTCCCTCCCTATGGTAAAGCTGATAAACCCTAATAAGGGGTAAAAACATCATTTACACATTGTGATTTCTTTCCCTCCCCCTTAAACTCGAGAACAGATCTATCCCCTCTTATTTTTTCTTTTGTATGCTTCTGTTTTCCCCTCCCTCCCATTCCCCCTTAATTAATTTTTACACTCGAGAAACAAGATGCAAATGAGATCAAAACTTTTGGGCATGATGAATTTGACCCTATATAAAAAGATGGATGTTTAGATGACCATTTTTTAATAATTAGTTGAATGTTCAAGTAAGATAATTATAAACATTTTATTAGAATTATATGTATCTAAGTAACCTTACTTCTATTTTTTTAAATAGGTTTATTCAAGTGGTTTATTATCTGGTTTTTTTAAAACCTACTTACTTTCGACTATATAAAATTAGAATTAAACTCATGCTTGCTTCACATTCAAATATCTTCTAAAGCGGGCCTTCCATTTTTGAGGTTCATTACTAATTATACATCATTATCGATTATAAAACCATATCACAAGTTTGCCTTGTAGTCTTTATGCAACCAAAAAAACTCTACTTTTTGATCCTAGATCTCCATAATTGTTTATGAAATAAATATCTAATCCCCATTGTCAAGAAACAGTAAAAAATTGGCACAATCACACAAAAATAGTCATCAATTTCACATAGCATCTCCATTTCGAAATGATGACACCATTTGGAAAATGACAATTTCATAAATGCCATTTATGAACGGTAGGGGCCATCTTTGAAAATTGTCAATAAAGTTGGATTTTTAGTAAAATTACAATTAACTACCATTTTATTTGAATATTTTATAAAGGGTTTAATCCTAACATTATTTTATTGGTCATAAAATTGATTTCATTTGAAGTTGGTGTTTACTATTTTGAAGAATTGGATTGTTATATTGCTATGATATAAACCTATTTTTTGTTGGTCTCAATGAACCCGCTACAAATATTTGTATCTATAAAACTACTCTTTTTCATTCTCTGACCCATGTTGGATTAATTCATTTGTTCACTTCTTCCAAGCACCTCAGTGTAACATATAATTTCTCATATATCTTAAATCCGTTTTGAAAATGTGATATATTTATCAAAACGAAAGTATCAAGGAGGAAAACACGTACATATAACTGTTTATCAATTTTAATAATATTTAGGGTTCGAAAATTATGCTAAAAAATAGAGGTAAAAAAACCATTTTTGAAATCGATTAAAACCAATTTTTCAACTGTCATCTCAAAGAGAAAAAGGCTAATAATAAAAACAGACATTTGTTTATTGTTTATCAATTTATACAATATTTTTTATTCCATTTAATTTATTTAACTTATATCATTACCATTCCATCATTCTATGTAACAATATATACATAAAATGATAAATAAATAAAAACCCTCTCATAAAGTAATAAGTTGCGTGACATTAGATGCTTAAAAATACAAATTAGTTTATTAGTTAAAAATACAAGTTAGTTAGAAATTAGTTTATTAGTTAATCGAACAGGAAGCGGTTAAAAAAATGACCAGGAAAAACTCGGTCTTCAAGACTTCATCCGCCAAATGCCAACTATCTTTCAAAGATGGAAGTCCCTTTATCTCTATTCCTCCAAAAACATCCTTTTGTCCAATCACAAACTCATGAATTAAAACACTGGAACTCAATAATCAAGCACCACACTAAGCTCAAAGATGACGTTGCCATACTCACAACATATACCCAGATGGAATCTTTGGGTATTTTGCCGGATAATGCCACTTTGCCTCTGGTACTCAAGGCCTGTGGCCGACTACAAGCCATAGAAAAAGGTAAGAAATTACACAATTCCATTTCGAGTACAAATTTGGCTTCTGATATCCGTGTTCAGACAGCTCTTGTGAACTTCTATTCAAAATGTGGGATGTTGCAGAATGCACTTACAGTGTTCGATGAAATGACTCAGAGAGATGTCGTTTCATGGAATGCTATGATTTCTGGGTGTTTTTGTTGTTATGAGTACCAAAAAGCTCTCCATTTGTTTTCTCAAATGCAAAAGGAAAATCTAAAGGCGAATTCAGTGACCATTGTTGAGCTGCTTCAGGTGTGTGGGGAGCTTTTGGAATTGAGGTCTGGGAAGGAGATACATGGGTATTCCTTGAGACATGGTTTGTTTAACACAAATCCTCATGTGGATTCTTCTTTAATGGGGTTTTATTTAAAATTTGATCCATGGATTGCAAGTCTTGTTTTTGAGACATTAGCTTCAAGAAACACGATAAGTTGGAACACTATGATAAGTGGCTATATTAACCATGGGGATTTCTTGAAAGCTCTGAAACTTTTCATTCTCATGCTCAATGAAGGATTCAAATGTGATTCTATCACAATGTTAGTTGTCATTCAAGCATGTGCTGAATTTGGAGATCATGGACTAGGAATGCAAGTTCATCAACTGGTTATCAAATTTGGTTACAACAATATGCATATAGTCAACTCATTGGTCAACATGTACAACAAATATGCAGATTTAAAATCATCCTATGAGCTATTTACCTCGATTCCAACAAAAGATGTTGCATTATGGAATTCTATGTTATCTTGTTATGTTGAAAACGGATTAATCAATGAATCAATACATTTGTTAAATAAAATGCAGTTGGAGGGCATTAAGGTAAATGAACGAACTATAGTCATTATACTTCCTCTATGTGCAAATCTTTCTAATGGTTTAATAAATGGTAAAAGCTTACATGCTTATGCTTTTAAGATTGGAAAGGAAAGAAACAAACATATTGGAAACAGCTTAGTGAATATGTACACATTGTTAAACTGTGTTGAAGATGCCACAAAGGTTTTTCATAAGATGAAGGACATAGATGTAATTTCATGCAATGTTTTCATCTCTGCATTGGCAAATAACAAACTCAAGGTTCAATCTTGTGAAATTTTCACCAAGATGCTAGAATTGGAAATCAAACCGAATTCTCAAACAATAACCTCAATACTTTCTGCTTTTGATGGAATAGGTTTCTTGAAATTTGGCAAATCCATTCATGGTTATGTGATGAAATGTGGGATTGAGATAGATGCATCTTTAAACACTGCACTTACAGAAATGTATATAAATTGTGAAGATGAATCAACGGGTATGAGGGTATTTGAGGAATTTCCTTATAAAGATTTGATTTCTTGGAACTCGTTGCTTTCAACTTACTTCAAGAACAATCAACCCTACAAAACTTTACTCCTTTTTCATCATATGATCACAAGGGTAAAAGTAAAACCGAATTTTGTCACAATCATAAACATTCTCTCGTTATACACTCATCTTTCTAATCTCCCACAAGGGAAATTCCTACATGCTTACACATTAAGAAGATTTTCATCGTTAAATTACGATTTACCCCTTGTGAATGCCTTCATAACTATGTATTCAAGATGTGGTAGTTTGGAATATGCTGAAAATCTCTTTAATGTATTACCAAAAACAAATATTATTTCATGGAATGCAATGATTGCTGGATATGGAATGCATGGACATGGGGATGCAGCTATGTTGACTTTTTCAAAAATGGTCAAACAAGGATTTACACCAAATCGAGTGACATTTATTTCTGCTTTATCTGCTTGTAGTCATTCTGGAATGATACAAAAAGGTTTACAACTTTTTTATTCCATGGTTCAAGATTTTGGTATAACTCCTGAACTTGTTCACTACAATTGTTTAGTTGATCTTTTAGCTCGTGGGGGGTTCTTGAATGAAGCTAAATATGTGATTGACACTATGCCCATGGCACCAGATGCTGCCACCTGGCGAGCTCTGATTGGTGGGTGTCGAGTCTACTCAGATACCCACTTGGCTAAAGCTGCTTTTGAGAATCTTATTGAATTAGAACCAAAGAATCCTGGGAATTACGTGTTGTTATCCAACATTTATGCGGCTTCTGGACTTTGGGATGAAGTAAAGAGTTTAAGATTGATTCTTGAAAACAAGGGTTTGAAGAAGCCAGCTGGCAGAAGTTGGATTGTTATCAAAAGTCAACTTCATTTCTTTGCAGCAGGAGATAAATCACATCCACAATCCGAAACAATCTACAGAAAGTTGACTTCTTTGTTGACTTTTGTTAAGGAAATGGGGTATGTTCCTGATCTTAGATGGGTTCTTCATGATGAAGATGATGAAAGAAAAATGGTGAGGATTTTAAGTCATAGTGAGAAACTAGCAATTGCATTTGGATTGATTAATGTGAGTGGTTGTTCACGGATCTTGATTACTAAGAACCTAAGGATTTGTGGTGATTGTCATGAATTTAGTAAGTATGTTTCAAAGCTTTTGAGGAGGACCATAATTATAAGGGATGCTACTCGTTTCCACCATTTTGTAGATGGATTATGCTCTTGTAAGGACTATTGGTAAGACTTAATGTTGTTCAAAAAATGTTTAGTAATTTAATACACATATAACTTTATAATTAAGAATACATATTTTGATATGTATATATATACATGTAGTTCTAACTTATTTGAAAATGTTGCAAAATGTGTTATTATTATATGTATTTATTGTATTCTCTATGTCTATAGCCGATTTGTATGTATATTGTTATAGTCCATTTGTAGTATGTAACAAAATGAAGTCCAATGTACATTGTATATATATTCCTTTGTTTAATGGACGTTGGTCCTAATGTAAAAATAGATCTAGAGACTAGGCGTACAAGTTATCCTAAACCAGAAATATCATTTGTGTAATTTAATCTAAATAAAATATTAAAGTACATAAAGGGGTTGATAGTCACATTGATTGTACTTATTAATATATTGTAATTAAATAGTGACGAGTTGTATCTTGGGATATATAGCTTTAAAAGTATCCTAGGAATGCACAAGTTTAAATATGGGTGTCGTGTTATCAAATATTATGACATAAAAAGATACCTTTCTTACTTACTGCAGTAAAAAAGATGTGATTTTCATAGTTACTAAAGGACCAAAGGGTAACTTATCAAGAAAGAAATGTGCAGTAAAAAAGATGTGATTTTCATAGTTACTAAAGGACCAAAGGGTAACTTATCAAGAAAGAAATGTGTCCGGTGGTTATACATAAGGAGTTGATCCGTACACAACAATTTTTTTCCATACACAACAATTGGTGCTTTAAAATGTTGTATTGTACAACTATATAATGCATAAATTGTTGTGTATAACAAAAAATTGTTGTGTACGAATCACTTCCCACATACATATGTTAATGAGATAATGACTTATAAGGGTAATATAGTTTAGGTTTTGTTCACGTTTAGTCATTTAAACTGTTTTTTGTCCACATATTACAATTGAACTTGATTGGAGTGCTCACATTACATCCTTATAACCGGGTGATATAGGTAACATAGTTTAGGTTTTGTTCACATTTAGTCCCTTAAGTTTTTTTGTCCACTTATTACAATTAAATTTGTTTGGATTGTTCACATTACATCCTTAAGAACTTGTTTGCACTGTTGACATTACATCCTTAAGACCTGACAGCGCTGATCATCTTCCATGTTGCCATTGAACTGTATTTCGACTAGCCCCATATGAGAGATGTTTTCGTGTGTGCTCGGACCTACTCAATATTTTACCTTTAAATTGTCATAACTCCTTTGTTTGAAGTCGGAATGTCATGATTTGTTTTTCAACACAGATAAGGGTAACATAGTTTAGGTTAATAACTTATAAGGGTAACATAGTTTAGGGTTTTTTTTTCACATTTGGTCCTTTATGTTTTATATATATATATATATTTTTGTGTGTGTATATATATATATATATATATATATATATATATATATATTATTGAGATTGTTTGGACTATTCACATTACATCATTATATGACCGACTAAAACCTACACCAACCGGTCATAAGGATGTAACATGAGTAGTCCAAATAAGTTCAATGGTAATATATGGACAAAAAATAACATAAAAGACTAAACGTAAATAAAACTAAAACTTTGTTACCCTTATAAGTCATTTTAAGAAACAAATAATATGTAAACTGATATTGATCTCAAATATATAACAAGAACATAATAAAAAACACTCTCTTTCTCTCATCATCGGCCAATGAAAAAACAAGAACATACTGAAACAAAAAAAAAAGTAGTATTGAGACAATGAAGAGAAACAAGTATATTTAGTTAGAAAAAGCTAATTCTAGAGCTCTTAAACCAACAAAAATAATTATTTGTTTGAATTTTTAATAATAAATTTGAGTAGGCTCTAATATTAACTGTTAGTTATTTTAATAACCAAAACATAATTTGGAAGCTTAAACTTTATACCTTGATCTCGAATATGATTAAAAGAAATAAACAAAAGAAAGAAGATAATACAATTTGAGATAATATAATCTGAGAGATATTAGAATTGTATGAGATTTTATGTCAAATTAGAAACTTAACCCAAAAAATAAACATGATAAATATTTATCCTTATTTATTGATAAATACACTCTATCAACATTTTAAAACAATTTCCTTAATAAATCTAAATTTAATGATAATGTATATTTATTTAGTGGTCCTAAATTATAGATCACATTATATATGGATGTACTTACCTATGGACTTCATTGAATGGATAATCATGAAAAATCTCGATGACAATTTCTATACCAGTATCATTTAGAAGTTTTTCAAAGATTAAAGATCGTCATAGGAAAACGAATTAAAGCGTCGTTATGCATGCCACAAACATCACAAGTAGAGTAAACCACAAAAATGGTTCATGTGGTTATCATTGTTGTGGTTTCGGTCCAAAAAAAATTGAATTTGCACTAATGGCCCAAAACTGGATTTTTATTTATTTATTTTTTTATATATTGTGGTTTTGGTCTCTCTCTATCTATCTTTCAATGCACCACCCCATCTAGTATTCCCACTAAGCCACATCACCTAATTGTTTTCTCCGACCATGACTTTGCCACACATACCGAAAACCTACATGTTAAAATCACATACACATGATGAAAAACTTAATCACATCAAAAACTAAAATCTAAAAATGAATCCTATTTTGAAAGATATGGAAAATTAAATGAAAGGTGTCATATTCATGATCGACGTCAGAACCTTACAACAATAACACCACTATCATCACTTAAACCACACCATCACCATCTCGAATCCAACTAAAAACACCAACACTATAATTACCTACACCTTTACCATCAAGACCGAAAATGACCCATGCCTTTACATAGCCATACACCATCTGATAGAGTTCACTTGATCCTCCGAGATCCACTCAGATGTTTTGCACTCTAAAACCAAATTTACTTAAATAAGCATCAACAATTTGATGTCGATGATCAGAATCTCTTCATTCAAGTTGTTTCCATTGAGAATCTAGTTCTAAATTGTTTATTCTCATATTTGATTCATCTGTGTGGTTGTATCCATCCCCTTCTTTGCTACTTCAAGAAGACTGTTTCATGGAACAAGCAACCACTTGCACCCACTGCTTCAACTTTACCTTGACTCACTTCAAATTTTCTCCTACAAAATTCCATGAATTTATTTATAGATTTGGGTGGTGGAGAATGGATATGTTTAGTTTCAAAATTTCACAATCCTTGGCTATAAATCTTCCATGTACTATCTTTCATTTTCAAATGATGATGTTCTTGAATTTGATGATAATGTGCCTATCTGGTCAAGTTTAGGTATCGGTGAGACACTACCACTGCTAGGAGGAGAGATAGTCGCCCCCTGGATCAATCGTAACAAGAAGCGATGGAGGAAGAAAGTGAGTTACTTATGTAGTGGTGTTGACTAGTGGTGGTGTATTGAGTGTTGTAAGTCTTATAGTAAAAGAAAGAGATAAGGGTGGTGGGTAGGGTTTTTGTTTTATTTTTAATTGAAAAATAATTGTAAATAAAAAAGGATATAGTGCTTTTAAGCCCTTTCAAATTTTTAAGAACCAAAACCACTAAAAAAAATCCCAATTTTGACTAATATGGTGCAAGTCCAAACTCGTTTGAAGTGAAACCACAAAAAAATGATGTTACATCCCGATTTTCAACCCAAATTATTTTATTTTATTTAATTAAATATATTAGAGCTATAACTACATTATGCGAAAACATGTTGTGAATGCGCGTGTGTACAGTCGAACTTTGCCCTTCTTACGAAGTACTTGAAAATATTTATAACAACTTGGTAAGTGCTAGGTTTCATGAGTTCCCCAAAATAATATATACCACAATACATAAAACATGCATACAAACAATGGCTCATGATATGCCAATAATATGTGTATTTTAGACTTACGACCTAGCCATTTTGTCTTCAACATGGGTCTACATGTACTTACGGCCTACATGTCATTTCGTCAACATGAGTCTATGTGTACTTACGGCCTACTTGCCATTTCGTTAACACGAGTCTATGTGCACTTAAGGCCTACTTTCCATTTCGGTCAACACGCGGGCCTATTGGCTCCCAACCTCTTTAACCGTTCCACCATCATCCCATAACTAATACTTTAATTACAAAAATTATGCACATAGAGGCTGCACTTTAGATTCTACTAATACATGCACATTTATACTTTCTACTCTACCCGTTCACAGTTAAGCACATAAAGATTGTACTACCAACTCCACTCTACTAGTTCTCGATCCTAACATACATGGATATATATTATAATACATGGTATAGTGAGATAACTCACCTTCACAATGACTTGGAAGATTGACAGCTATCTGGGTGATTCTAGTGGCAATCTGTAACATCCCAAAATTCAAGGCAAAAATTTTCATTTTTAAATAAGTTATTATAAAACCATAAGTTTAAAAACATCCATAATAACATCTCATGTCAAAACCAAAGTGTCAATAGTCAAACATGTTATCATAAAATAATATCAGAGTGTAATCCCAAAGATCTCATATGCGGAAAATATAGTGTGATGCGTTGTGATCGAGCCGGCTCCTTTCCTTTGAAAACGAAGTACCTGAAACCAAAACTATAAACCGTAAGCACGAAGCTTAGTGAGTTCCGCCGTCATACCACATACCATATAACAAACATACTGCCAGGCAATTCTGGGGCGCCCGACCTACCCTTGTCAAGCAATTCTGGGGTGTTTGACCTACCCTGCCAGGCAATTCTGGGGTGCCTGACCTACCCATGTCAAGAAATTCTGGGGTGCTTGACCTACCCTACCAGGCAATTCTGGGGTGACCGACCTACCCTCCGGTTTATCTCAATCGGCTACGGGGACTATTTCACCCCTACCACTACCACATAATAACATAACATAACATACTGTCAGGCATATCTGGGTGCCCGATCTACCCTTCGGTCCTTATAACCGTAACACAGAGACTATTCCCCTACTACCACTAACACACAACATCATATCATGCT